GGGCGGTGACTAGTAAAAGGGGGGCGGTGAATAGCGATTGAGATTTTTTTGGGTGTTATTTAAAAGATTTAAGTATTTAATTGCAAAACAAACCTTGTCCGTTTAGCAATTTAATTCAAATCTTTGAATTTTTTTTTTTATTTTTTTTTTCTCGTCTCAATTTACCAAAACAAATCTAATGTTAGTCGGCGGCTTCTTTTTTGTGTGTGTTGCTGGGAACTTAAGATAACGTGGCTGGGCATCTACTAATTGAATATATGTCACGTCTTTAAATCGTTGCCAAAAACAAAAAAATAAAAAATCAAGGCCTTTTATTTTGTTTCTGCAATCTTGGCTCTTAGGTCACGCCGAAGGTCTCTCTCTGTTTTTGCACTCGCTTTCTCGGACTCCAGATGAGTCAACCTCGCAATCTCGACTTGCAGGTTATGCCGAAGGTCGTCTTGACAGAGGTTCCCAGCATCCAACCTTCTGGTGAGGTCAACTAGAGCCGCCAACCCCCTTCTGCGAGCCCGAGACACAATCCCGTCTACGAACAAATCATCAACATGCATCTTCAGACTGGAAATCTCCTCAAGCGGGCCTCGCGATCAACCTATAGCACCCTGTGTTGGAGTACATTGTAAAAGCTCGATTTTGTATTACTCAACATGTAACACCCCACTTTGATTTAAGAAATAATCCATGGCTTATTCAAAAATCAAGTTTACATTTTCGAAATTCATTTTTCAAAATCCATAACATTAGGGCATTATCTTGATTTCAATTCATATTTGAAACCTCACGGATATACATTACCCGGTTTTTCACATGGGCTTTATTGTCCTAAAATCAACAGTTCACATGATATCCAAATGACACATTCAATATGAATACCCAAACATAGTTCCGTGAAAAGAACCAAATCATATGTTCAAACCAACATAATTTCAACGACATTGTCTGAAATGAAATAACATATTCATAACCCAACATTTCCAAGTTCATCAGTTCGGGTTAACTTATTCAAAATAAAGCGGAAGCAAATAATGTAAATATGACCATCCACTCGCCATCCTGCCGTCGTGCCCGCCTTGCTTAACCTGAAATGTGAATTTCAGGTGGGGATGAGCACAGTTGGAAAAAGTAGTGCTCACCGCTATGCAATAAATAATGTATTAAGACAGATAAGTATGGTCGCAGCATGACACGAATCATTCAAATATCACATCTCCTAATCATAACCTTTTACTCATGTGCACATTTATCATTAGCCATTGAAGGTCGAAACCGCACACAACAATGGGAGTAAATACCGAAGGGTGTACAACTCCCCTCGGCCTTGCCTATCATTAGGCTAGGGAGACTACCTATCATTAGGCACCGTTGAAGGTCGAAACTGCACACGACGACAGGGATAACCGTTCGAAGGTCGAAACCGCACACATCGAAGGTTACAGGTTCACATACCTACATTGATCATACCATTTGACTTTCATAAAGAATTTAATGCATAGAAAATTTTGAATAACACACCTGGTCGCGAAAAGGAGACAATCACGAAAGCCCGAATAGGTTGCGAGCTCGGCTCGTCAAACACCTACATTAAGTTCAGATGCTATGATCAACATCTATTCTGGCTTAGACGGAAAATCACAATCATACTTAGTCGAACTTGATTCAACTAAGTTGTTCGTGAAGTCCTGTGGACGTTGGAACACTTAAACTTGACATCTAGACTCAACCAATACATAAATCCATCTAAGGATTGACCAAGTCAAACACTTAATGAAACAAAGGACGAGTCGGTATACAGTTTTTATTCTAAAAACCACATTTACGATTATACTAGTTTAAATCACAAAAATGAGTTGACCAGGTTTCCATATGAATTTAGCTCTCAAATTTTAACCAGAATTTCACCTTCTAGAGTTAAGCAAAACCACAAATTTTCAACTTCAAATCCCAAGTACACTATTTTATAAAATTCCCATAAGATATCAGAAAAACCAAGCCATGAATTTATAATCGAACTTAATGAAGGATTCAGGACTTAATAATTTTACTCAATACACTACAGCATGATATAAACAACATATAAAAATTTCAGCCCTTAACATTAACTGCTGCTATTTTTAAAAATTCAAACGAGATTCAGCAGTTTGTCAAATTTAAATCAGAATCGAATCAATAAACTCCAAAAATTTTCATATTTTAACAGCATGAATAAGTACCTAAAATAGGTATCTCAGTAAAGTTTCAGAATTTTCCAGCAAGAATTCAATTTACTAAAATTAAATTATGAAGCTGAAGAATACAACAAATAATTTTTAAATATAGCAAACAAAGTCAACAAATTCCAAAACTTTTACATGACCTAGAAAACACACAGGAAGAAAACATATTCAAATTCCATAATTTTTGGAGTACAACTCAATTTAATAGCCATTTAACAAAATTCTGCTCAGATTTTCAAAAAATTATTAAAAATAGCTAAACTTATTATTTTAATCTGAAATGTTTACACAACATGCAATTCCAGCAGAGGGTCGACCACATAAAATTTCACAGAAATACGAGCATCACGCAATTTATCATAATTTATTTACTAAAACAGCGGCTAGACAATTTCATTAATTCATAACCGACTCGTTTTACTTCGAATCCGTCCGAAGTCTTCGCTATTAAGACTAAGGACGACATAAGTTCCAGCCCACGGCAACTTAAACACGAAACGACGAGGTCTCAATCAATTTCACTGAATCGACGAGTTCGTCTACACATATAACTCATTATTTCCTAGCAACTTCAAACACATATATATTCTTATGAACACGAAATTCGCAATATCATATTCACAAGTATTAAACGATCTCTTTCAACAATCCATGACACAACATAAACGAGACAAAAAAATAAACGAGACGGGTCGAG